TCGATCTAGAAAAAGCATATGACACTACATGGAAGCACGGTATTTTAAAAGACTTACATGACTTTGGATTGCGAGGCCGTTTGCCTCAATTTATATCCAAGTTTTTATCTGACAGACAATTTCAAGTCCGCGTGGGTACTACCCTGTCTGATCATTATAATCAGGATCAGGGTGTCCCACAAGGCAGTATTTTGTCTGTCACATTGTTCAGTATTAAAATAAATAGCCTTTCTAAGGTTTTAAATGACTCCATTGATGGATCTTTATTCGTTGATGATTTTAACATATCATGTCGTGGTAAAAACATGCATACTATCGAAAGACAATTACAATTATGTCTAAATAAGATAAATAAATGGTGTTTAGAAAATGGTTTTAAATTTTCAAAATCCAAAACAAATTGTATACACTTTTGTAGGAAATACAAACCCCATAAAGACCCTGATTTAATTTTAGATAACACTCCGATTAAAGTTGTAAAAGAGGCTAAGTTCTTGGGTCTTATTTTTGACCACCATTTAACGTTTTTACCTCACATAAAATATTTGAAAAATAAATGCCTGAAGGCCCTTGATCTCCTAAAAGTTGTTTCCAATTCCAAGTGGGGAGGGGATCAGAAAACCCTCCTGCAACTGTACAGAGCACTTATTCGCTCTAAACTTGATTATGGCTCCATCATCTATGGTGGAGCCTGCAAAAGTAATCTTAAACTTTTGGACTCTATTCACCATCAAGGTCTGAGACTCTGTCTTGGATCTTTCCGAACTTCTCCTATTGACAGTTTATACGTTGAGGCTGATGAACCTTCCCTCAAACAACGTCGAATTAAATTATCCTTACAATATGTCACTAAATTACGCTCTAATACCTCGAATCCTGCATATGACTGTGTTTTTCACCCCCTTTATGAAAATCTCTATAATAAAAAATCATCGGTTCTCCCCCCACTTGGTATAAGACTTCAATCTGATATTTCTGCCGCTAAAATTAATCTTGCAGCTATCGCCCCCACGCAGCTTTTGTCTTCTCCACCTTGGCAGTTGGTAAAGCCAGAGGTGGATCTGACCTTAACTAAATTAAAGAAATCGGAAACAAATCAACTTATTTATCAACAAAAATATAATGAATTAAGAAACACATATAATACTTACAAATCAATATTTACTGATGGATCCAAGAATAGTGGCGCTGTTGCTAGCGCCACTGTCATTGGATCCAGGACTATCTCCTCCAGATTACCCGACAATAGTTCTATTTTTACAGCTGAGGCCAATGCCATTTTAACAGCTTTACAATATATCAGTAAACAGTCAAAATATCAGAAGTTTATCCTATTTTCCGATTCTCTTTCTTGCCTGCAGGCTATCTATAACATTTCATGTCAACATCCACTTTTAATCAAAATTATTGAATTATTTATTGAACTTGCTACTGGCCAATACGACATCGTCTTTTGTTGGTTGCCCAGTCATGTGGGCATCAAAGGCAACTCAATGGCTGATGCTGCTGCAAAAGCAGCACTCAACAAATCTGTGACACCACTTCTTATCCCATATACTGATTATAAACCTGTAATCAGATCTTATATTTGTGATCTGATGCAAAAGAAGTGGGACTCCCAAGTCGGTATCAATAAATTACATGAAATTAAACCAAATATTGGTTACACCTACTTGGGCTGTCAGTCCAGATTTGAAGAGGTCATTATGCGACGATGTCGTATTGGCCATAGCAGGTATACACACGAATATCTTTTAAAAGGTGAGGATCCTCCATTTTGTATCCCTTGTGATGAAGGAATCACCGTCAAGCATGTCCTGCTTGATTGTGTTGATTTTTCCATCACAAGGGATAAATATTTCAAAGTTTCATCCTTAAAGGATCTTTTTAATATCAGTGTTCATTTAATTATTGACTTTTTAAAAGAAATTGAATTGTTGCTAAAATTTTGATTGATATGTTTTGTATATAGTATAGTTTTTATAATTGGTAAAATAAATTTGTTAACTGTGATTGTTAGTGGCTGTATTCTCGAAGGGGGTTGAAGTAGTGTAAAATTATTGTCCCCCTGAGAGGGTATGTAAGACCACGTCTTTCAAAGTCTATTTATTTCTACCACGTTCTTAATCGTAGTATATATGTTCATTTAACTTTGGCTAAATTTGTCATAATCGCCAACAGCTGAAGGGATGATGTAAATCCAGCTGGGGTCCATGCAGGTAGCAAAAGTCCTGTAAGTCCCAATGGACCCTAGCATGGTGATCTACCTTCAGCTGCTGGCGATCTATAGCCTGTTTTTATCTTGTATCGTTATGTATAGTGATATTCTCTTTTAAAATTCCGTACTAGTTTTATATCTTTTTCTGTGATGATCTAGTAATTTTACTGTCCTTCGTTGACAGGTTTTTATACAAATTTCAATGTATGTATTATATTTAACTATTGATAGTCACGATATGGCTGAAATATTGCCGATGTGACTTTAAATTTAACTCACTCACTCACTCTTTTGGTTTATCATTACACTAACAGACTATGCAAACCACCGAGGCAGAAATAATTCTCAGCACGTGGCAACATCACCCGAGCTGTGACGTTGCGGCCACATTGGTCAAAGTTATCCGTGACGTCATGGAAACACACTGGCTAGAGCCGTGACGTCATGTGTCGTACGTGGCGCTTAATTTATGTCCTGAAATAAAAATAAATATGAGTGGCATATAAAAGACGAACGTTTCCCAGATTTCCTTGTTAGGCCTCAGTGGACACAAACGACTGAACTATTTCTGTCACCAGAACAGAGTTTTGTATTAAACATTCAGAGGCCGGGGAGTCTTTTAACGTCTGCATCAAGTGCTATTTAAAGTTCTCTTTGATATATTGTACATGCGATTATCGTGTTTATTAAATTACATTTCTTGATTCAAGACAGCAGGACAAATAAAATAGGTTCACATTTTCCTCTTGAATTATTCAACAATCTGTCATAATTACACAACAACAATGTACACAACTACAGGGACACGTGTGCTGGTGAAGCTCGGTGTATTTGGTTCAGTGAAATCATACACATTGTTGAAGTATACACATTGTTGAATTATACACACTGTTGAATTATACTCTTTGTTGAATTATACACATTGTTGAGTGAGTGAGTGATTAAGGGTTTACGCCGCTTTAAGCAATATTCCAGCAATATCACGGCGGGGGACACAAAAAACGGGCTTCACAAATTGTGCCCATGTCGGGAATCGAACCTGGGTCTTCGGCGTGACGAGCGAACGCTTTAACAACTAGGCTACCTGACCGCCCCTACACACTGGTGAATCATACACTTTGTTGAATTATACACATTGTAGAATTATACATGCTGAGGAATTATATACACCGTTACATAATACACACTGTTGAATTATACACTTTGTTGAATTATACACACAGTGAATTATACACATTTTACATTAAACATAAGCCGTGGCGGTATTAACATGACACGTGGAGGTATTAACATGACACGTGGAGGTATTAACATGACACGAGGAGGTAGTAACATGACACATGGAGGTAATAACATGACACGTGGAGGTATTAACATGAGACGTGGATGTATTAACATGAGACGTGGAGGTAGTAACATGACACGTGGAGGTATTAACATGAGACGTGGAGGTATTAACATGAGACGTGGAGGTATTAACATGACACGTGGAGGTAGTAACATGACACGTGGAGGTATTAACATTGGACGTTGGGGTATTAACATGACACGTGGATGTATTAAGATGACACGTGGAGGTATTAACATTGGACGATGGGGTATTAACATGACACGTGGATGTATTAACATGACACGTGGATGTATTAACATTGGACGTTGGGGTATTAACATGACACGTGGAGGTATTAACATGAGACGTTGGGGTATTAACATGACACGTGGAGATATTAACATGAGACGTGGAGGTATTAACATTGGACGTTGGGGTATTACCATCACACGTTGAGGTATTAACATGACACGTGGATGTATTAACATGACACATGGACATAGTGACATGAGACGTGGATGTATTAACATTGGACGTTGGGGTATTAACATGACACGTGGAGGTATTAACATGAGACGTGGATGTATTAACATGACACGTAGATGTATTAACATTGGACGTTGGGGTATTAACATGACACATGGAGGTATTAACATGACACGTGGATGTATTAACATTGGACGTTGGGGTATTAACATGACACGTTGAGGTATTAACATGACACGTGGATGTATTAACATTGGACGTTGGGGTATTGATATGACACGTTGAGGTATTACCCTTGGACGTTGGGGTATTAACATGACACGTGGAGGTATTAACATGAGACGTGGATGTATTAACATTGGACGTTGGGGTATTAACATGACACATGGAGGTATTAACATGACACGTGGATGTATTAACATTGGACGTTGGGGTATTAACATGACACGTTGAGGTATTAACATGACACGTGGATGTATTAACATTGGACGTTGGGGTATTGATATGACACGTTGAGGTATTACCCTTGGACGTTGAGGTATTAACATGATACGTGGATGTATTAACATGACACGTGGATGTATTAACATTGGACGTTGGGGTATTGATATGACACGTTGAGGTATTACCCTTGGACGTTGGGGTATTAACATGACACGTGGAGGTATTAACATGAGACGTGGATGTATTAACATTGGACGTTGAGGTATTAACATGACACGTGGAGGTATTAACATGAGACGTGGAAGTATTAACATTGGACGTTGGGGTATTGATATGACACGTGGAGGTATTACCCTTGGACGTTGAGGTATTAACATGATACGTGGAGGTATTAACATGAGACGTGGATGTATTAACATTGGACGTTGGGGTATTAACATAACACGTAGAGGTATTAGCATGAGAACTGGAGGAATTAAATTAATATAAGACGTTGAGGTATTAACATGAGAAATGGATGTATTAAATTGACATGAGAGGTCGAGGTATTAGCATGCGACCTAGAGGTATTAACATGAGACGTGGACGTATTAACGTGAAAACTGGAGTTTTTGAATTAACATGAGGCGTGGAGGAATTAACACGAGACATGGAGGTAGTAGCATGAGACATGGAGGTAGTAGCATGAGACATGGAGGTAGTAGCATGAGACATGGAGGTAGTAGCATGAGACATGGAGGAATTAACACGAGACATGGAGGTAGTTGCATGAGACATGGTGGTAGTAGCATGAGACATGGATGAATTAACACGAGATATGGAGGTAGTAGCATGAGACATGGAGGTAGTAGCAGGAGACATGGAGGTAGTAGCATGAGACATGGAGGTAGTATCATGAGACATGGAGGTAGTATCACGAGACATGGAGGTAGTAGCATGAGACATGGAGGAATTAACACGAGACATGGAGGTAGTAGCATGAGACATGGAGGTAGTAGCATGAGACATGGAGGTAGTAGCATGAGACATGGAGGAATTAACACGAGACATGGAGGTAGTTGCATGAGACATAGAGGTAGAAGCATGAGACATGGAGGAATTAACACGAGACACGGAGGTAGTAGCATGAGACATGGAGGTAGTAGCATGAGACATGGAGGTAGTAGCATGAGACATGGAGGTAGTAGCATGAGACATGGAGGTAGTATCATGAGACATGGAGGTAGTATCATGAGACATGGAGGTAGTAGCATGAGACATGGAGGAATTAACACGAGACATGGAGGTAGTAGCATGAGACATGGAGGTAGTAGCATGAGACATGGAGGTAGTAGCATGAGACATGGAGGTAGTATCATGAGACATGGAGGTAGTATCATGAGACATGGAGGTAGTAGCATGAGACATGGAGGAATTAACACGAGACATGGAGGTAGTAGCATGAGACATGGAGGTAGTAGCATGAGACATGGAGGTAGTAGCATGAGACATGGAGGTAGTAGCATGAGACATGGAGGTAGTATCATGAGACATGGAGGTAGTAGCATGAGACATGGAGGAATTAACACGAGACATGGAGGTAGTAGCATGAGACATGGAGGTAGTAGCATGAGACATGGAGGTAGTATCATGAGACATGGAGGTAGTATCATGAGACATGGAGGTAGTAGCATGAGACATGGAGAAATTAACACGAGACATGGAGGTAGTAGCATGAGACATGGAGGTAGTAGCATGAGACATGGAGGTAGTAGCATGAGACATGGAGGTAGTAGCATGAGACGTGGAGGTAGTAGCATGAGACATGGAGGTAGTAGCATGAGACATGGAGGAATTAACACGAGACATGGAGGTAGTAGCATGAGACATGGAGGTAGTAGCATGAGACATGGAGGAATTAACACGAGACGTGGAGGTAGTAGCATGAGACACGGAGGTAGTAGCATGAGACATGGAGGAATTAACACGAGACATGGAGGTAGTAGCATGAGACATGGAGGTAGTAGCATGAGACATGGAGGAATTAACACGAGACGTGGAGGTAGTACCATGAGACACGGAGGTAGTAGCATGAGACATGGGGGAATTAACACGAGACGTGGAGGTAGTAGCATGAGACATGGAGGTAGTAGCATGAGACATGGAGGAATTAACACGAGACGTGGAGGTAGTAGCATGAGACACGGAGGTAGTAGCATGAGACATGGAGGTAGTAGCATGAGACATGGAGGTAGTAGCATGAGACATACTTGATGACTGTGTTCACCCAGGACTTCATCCGTTCAGCTCCACAGAAGAAAGAGTTGCTGTGTCACAATCTGACATCAATGCTTACAAGAAAATCAAATTTCACCCCACTTTCCATATTCTTTCTGGGGTGTGATTGTACAATATATTCACCCCACTTTCCATATTCTTTCAAAACTTACTTTAAAATATGTGTGTTGTAAATAATTTCTATTCTTCCGAAAAACTATCCAAAGTGTTCGAATACAAATCCCATACTATGTATTTCAGAAAAGGACTGAAGAGCTTTGTAAACATTGTCACACACAGACACCAGTCTGATGATTGTACAACATATTGCACCATTTGAACTGGGGTGTGGTTGTACAGCATATTGCACCGTTTGAACTGGGGTGTGATTGTACAACATATTGCATCCTTTGAACGGGTGTATGATTGTACAACATATTGCACCCTTTGATCGGGGGTGTGATTGTACAACATATTCCACCCTTTCGACGGGGGTGTGATTGTACAACACATTGCACCCTTTGAACTGGTGTGTGATTGTACAATATATTGCACCCTTTGATCGGGGGTGTGATTGTACAACATATTCCACCCTTTCGACGGGGGTTTGATTGTACAACACATTGCACCCTTTGAACTGGTGTGTGATTGTACAATATATTGCACCCTTTGATCGGGGGTGTGATTGTACAACATATTCCACCCTTTCGACGGGGGTGTGATTGTACAACACATTGCACCCTTTGATCGGGTGTGTAATTGTACAAAATATTGCACCCTTTGAGCTGGGGTGTGATTGTAAAACACATTGCACCCTTTGAGCTGAGGTGTAGTTGTACAACATATTGCACCCTTAGAACGGGGGTGTGATTGTACAACATATTCCACCCTTTGAACTGGTGTGTGATTGTGCAACATATTGCACCCTTTGGACGGGGGTGTGATTGTACAATATATTGCACCTTTTGAACGGGGGTGTAGTTGTACAACATATTGCACCCTTTGAGCTGGGGTGTGATTGTAAAACACATTGCACCCTTTGAGCTGGGGTGTGATTGTACAACATATTGCACCCTTTGAACTGGTGTGTGGCTTTACAGGATATTGCACCCTTTGACCTGAGGTAATACTGTACGTTTTTGAATTTGGACCAGACCAATGACTGATGTCATGACCAGAGCCCCATGCCGCCGGAGAACGATGACTTGCGGTCAAACAGCCGCAGCACCGATCCATGAAGCTGTGCGTTTTCTTATTAACTAATTCTACCCCTAGAATCCTGACGGGAAGAGTTTTCAGATGACTGACAAACTTAACAATTGCTAGTAAAATTTAAAATTTTCTTTAAATCTTATATCAAATGTCTTCTATCACTGAATTCGTGCCAATGGCATATTGTTATTGAATGGCACTGTACAGACTAAACGGAGAAGCCTGACCGATGGCCACTGTGCCGCTCACTGTTATGAATGGCGTACCTACTGTCAGTACCACAAGACAGCATACTGATGGACAACTGAATGGTAGAGCTGTTATAGTGTTCAACAAGTTTTCTCCGTGTCTCTGGTTTTGTCTGAGATCAAGCAGATGTGTTTATACGGAGTTAAGTCCTACTTATAAAAGGAGATGGTGGGGGAAGGAGTTTAGGGTCATAACTCGGGATTTTCTCAGGAATTTCCACCTACTTTATCATTTCTAGTGTATAAATGAGTTACCATCTCAGGCGTAGGAAATATAAAGTCTGTGATCTTGTCCAATCAGATCACGCCACGTGTTTATACTGCATTGGTCAGTGGCGGGTTGCCTGTCAACGTCCTAGTAACTGTACTGAAAGTCATTCCGCATTCTTCTGTGGCTATCGTGTCACACCTCTCGACTTTACAAACGATCTAGCGTAGAAATCGTGTTGACAAAGGATCTAGTTTATCAGACATTGATAACTTTGCACAAACAAACCTTTATAAAAGTTATCGCATGCAAGATAGATATGCATGGTTCAACCGTCTAACGTTTACCATAGGAAAATGACGCAACATTTCAGAGACGGTATTCATAAACTTTAAACTAATATTGTTAACAAGTCAAAACTTACGTTTGTGTATTCTGACTGAGTCTGAGACTTAGGTAGCTATTCAAAAACTAATAAGTCCAAAACCAAAACCAAAACCAAAACCAAGTCTCCAAAGAAATAATTTATGTCATTTTCGTAGCATGTACCCACGTAAAGGGGAATTCCATCTATTTATTAAATTCACTTAAGAATTCTTTTACGAGAGAGGTACACATACGGGAATTGCTATAACAAGGGGTTACAGCAATCGTTTATGCCTCTACTTTGATGACATAACAGTTGTCAACGCTAAGTTATCAGCTATAGTAAACTACGGTTATAACGAACTCAACGGGACCACTAATTTTAATTGGTTATAACCGTAGTTCGTTATAAGCATATGTACAATATATATATATGCACAAAATGGACGGAACCAGGAAACAGTTCGTTATATCGGTAAGTTCGTTATAAGCGTGTTTGTTATAAGCGTAGTTTACTGTAGTTTGAACTCTGAACGTAAACACTGAAACTAAACACGTATTACCTGAGCGTTGGTACACGGCTGATACCCAAATGTAATTGGGTCTTGTTACCCCTGTCTTAGAACTACAAGGTGTAGAGGGCGGGGTGCGGGGTGTGGGGTACAGGGTGTGGGGTAAAGGGTGTGGGTCATGGGATGTGGGGCGTAAGATGTGGGTTGAGGGATGTGGGGGGTGGGGTACAGGGTGTGGGGAGAAGGGCGTGGGCGACGGGATGTGGGGTGTGGGATGTGGGGTACGTGGTACAGGGTCTGGTGTAAAGGGTGTGGGTGACGGGATGTGGGGTGTGGGATGTGGGGTACATGGTACAGGGTCTGGTGTAAAGGGTGTGGGTGACGGGATGTGGGGTGTGGGATGTGGGGTACGTGGTACAGGGTCTGGTGTAAAGGGTGTGGTCACGGGATGCGGGGCGTAAGGTGTTGGTTGAGGGATGTGGGGTGTGGGGTGTGGGGCACAGGGTGTGGGTGACGGGATGTGGGGCGTAAGATGTGGGTTGAGGGATGTGGGGGGTGGGGTACAGGGTGTGGGGAGAAGGGCGTGGGCGACGGGATGTGGGGTGTGGGATGTGGGGTACGTGGTACAGTGTCTGGTGTAAAGGGTGTGGTCACGGGATGTAGGGCGTAAGGTGTGGGTTGAGGGATGTGGGGTGTGGGGTGTGGGGCACAGGGTGTGGGGAGAAGGGCGTGGGTGACGGGATGTGGGGCGTAAGGTGTGGCTTGAGGGATGTGGGGTGTGGGGTGTGGGGCACAGGGTGTGGGGAGAAGGGCGTGGGTGACGGGACGTGGGGTACGTGGTACAGGGTCTGGTGTAAAGGGTGTGGGGCACAGGGTGTGGGGTACAGGGTGTGGGGAGAAGGGCGTGGGTGACGGGATGTGGGGCGTAAGGTGTTGGTTGAGGGAATGTGGGGTGCGGGGTGTGGGGCACAGGGTGTGGGGAGAAGGGCGTGAGCGACGGGATGTGGGGCGTAAGGTGTTGGTTGAGGGAATGTGGGGTGTGGGGTGTGGGGCACAGGGTGTGGGGAGAAGGGCGTGGGTGACGGGATGTGGGGTACGTGGTACAGGGTCTGGTGTAAAGGGTGTGGGTCACGGGATGCGGGGCGTAAGGTGTGGGTTGTGGGGTGTGGGGTACAGTGTACAGGGTCTTGGGTAAAGGATGTGGGTGACGGGATGTGGGGTGTAGGGTTTGGTCAGCGGCTGGCTATGACTACAGACTTGAATATATACACTTGAGTGCATCAACCTTTATTTCAAAATTGTGGAGCACATGTTCATTTATGCATAACATATACCTATCAACAGTAAAGGTCGAGTAAACACTCCGCAACGCAACCACGCACACATGCAAACACGCACGCACACACATACACTTGCGCACGTATAAACACACCCAAAAATAACGCACATGTCACACACTCGCATCCACATCAAAGCATCTCATCAATGGACCACGTTTGTAAAATGATTATCATTTACGTAGAACAAACCAATATGGTTTACATAACAGTCACTGAGTCTCATGCCGACACAACCAGCAAGTAATTATCACGGTAAGCTCAATGTCAATAAAGAATTAGATAAACTTAACACTTTCATATGGCGGAGAAATACTTAGCTTGACAAAAATGATAAACATAACCATCTTGCACCGCCATCACTACGCTATAAATAATACGTGGCGATCACTGAAACAGACAACATCACCAACCATAGAATCATGTATGTTGTAAGGAGAAAGTGTCCATTGTTCGTCTAAACACCAGTACGTGTAGCCAACAGTATAGACAGTAGTACGTGTGGACAATAGTACGTGTAGACAAAAGTACGAATAGACAATAGTACTCAGAGACGGTAGTCCGTATAGACAATAGTACGTCTAAACAATGGTACGCGGAGATCATCATACGTGTGAACAATGGTACACGGAGATCATCATACGTGTAAACAATGGTACACGGAGATCATCATACGTGTAAACAATGGTACACGGAGATCATCATACGTGTAAACAATGGTAAACGGAGATCATCATACGTGTAAACAATGGTAAACGGAGATCATCATACGTGTGAACAATGGTACACGGAGATCATCATACGTGTGAACAATGGTACACGGAGATCATCATACGTGTGAACAATGGTACACGGAGATCATCATACGTGTGAACAATGGTACACGGAGATCATCATACGTGTAAACAATGGTACACGGAGATTATCATACGTGTAAACAATGGTACACGGAGATCATCATACGTGTAAACAATAATACGTATAGGCAATACTATGTACAGACAATAGTATGTACAGACAATAGTACATATAGACAATAGTACGTATAGACAAAAGTACGTATAGGCAATAGTATGTACAGACAATAATACGTATAGACAATAAGACATATAGACAATAGTACGTATAGACAATAGTACGTATACACAATAGTACGTATACACAATAGTACGTATAGACAATAGTACATATAGACAAAAGTACGTGTGAACAACAGTACGTTCCGACAATAGTACGTATAGACAATAATACGTATTGACAGTAGTACGTATGGACAATAGTACGTTTAGACAATAGAACGTTTAGACAATGGTACGTTTAGACAATAGTACGTTTAGACACTTATTGACAGTAGTGAGTGAGTGAGTTAGGTTAAACGCCGCTTTTAACAGTATTACAGTTATATCACGACGTGTCAGCTTAATGTGGGAGGAAAGCCTGAAGTGATGCAGGTCTCAGACGTTTACCACTTCGGTAAAACCCACGAGCACGGGTATGGTGCTGACAAACCTAGAAACATAATCAGAGCGAACCGAGATTCGAACCCACAATCATAGATTTCTTGCATGCCCAAGGGACGACTGGGTCACCCTAGCCCCCTATGGACAGTACGTATAGACAATAGTACGTAAAGACAATAATTCGTTTAGACAATAGCACGTACACACAATAGTACGCATAAACAATATTACTTATAGACAATAGTACGTATAGAAAATATTTCGTGTATATAAAACACCTGGACGTTCTCGTAAAACCCAAACATCCCCCAAAAAGCATGATACCGAGGCTTTGAGGTTCGAGCAAGACAAGAAATCAATACAAGGCCAGTCGGGGAGACTGTCACATTGGTGTTTTAGTACTGGCTATCTTCTCCCGCTGTGAAAAAGCACACTGACAACCTACACTAAACCTCCGCACTACCCGGACATAGCAGAGTGGTCTCCCTTGCCTGTGACGTCGCGGCACCTCCAGCACAGAACGGTAGTAGTAGATGGGTTTGCAGGCGTGGGGGGACCTCCCCGCGAGAGTGAGGCATGTACCACACGAACACCGAGCCTCCACCACCACGGAGGGCAGTCTGTAGGGGTTAAAGGTCATGACAGGGTAGCTCGGACATGTTGATTTGTTCACGGTTCCCCGTGAAGGGCATTTCTTGTCATACGTCAAATCTGCCACTTTGTCCTCTGCATCTTTCACATAGTCCACATCTACAAACAAACAATATTCATATTGCTGAGTGCGGTCTAAAACTACAGACTCAACTGACGTCAACTGACTGGACCTCTACTGTAGACCTTAACTGTGGACCTCTACTGAAGACCTTAAGCGTGGACCTCTACTGTGGACCTCTACTGTAGACCTTAACTGTGGCCCGATACTGTTGACCTCTACTGTGTATCTTAACTGTGGACCTCTACTGTTGACCTCTACTGTGGATCTCTACTGTGGACCTCTACGGTGGACCTCTACTGTGAACCTCTACGGTGGACCTCGACTGTGTACCTTAACTGTGTACCTCTACTGTGGCCCTCTACTGTGTACCTCTACTGTGGACCTCTACTGTGGACCTCTACTGTGGACCTCTACTGTGGACCTCTACTGTGTACCTCTACTGTGGATCTCTAATGTGGACCTCTACTGTGAACCTCTACTGTGGACCTCTACTGTGGACCTCTACTGTGGACCTCTACTGTGGACCTCTACTGTGGATTTCTACTGTGGATCTCTAATGTGGACCTCTATTGTCGACCTCGACTGTGTACCTTAACTGTGGACCTCTACTGTTGACCTCTACTGTGTACCTAAACTTTGGACCTATACTGTGTACCTTAACTATGGACCTCTACTGTGGACCTCGCCTGCGGGTATTTGGTCACAGTATTGAGTGCGAGGGCCACCACGAGGGTCTCTAGTCATTGAAAATCCTGATAGATTCAAATAAATAAAACAAGCACCAGGCCGCATTAGGAAATGTCATTTATTGTCCACGACTTCCAACTTCTGTGTCAACTACAATATGAAATCAAGCTCAACTCTGACGTCAGAAGAAGATAAATGTAGGTCACTTCTCACCAAAAGTGACAATTGATAAGTAACTGTGAACTTCTTAAGGTAGATGAACTGGAGTACTCAGAGGTAGGACTCTATAGAACAGTGGAATATAACTCATAGAATATATAACTCGTCCCACCTGATCTGTAGCCAGTCACTAGATGGAACGTCTCGTCCGCGACGTCCTCCGCGGCATCCTCGGGGCGGCACCTCAGGGGAGTCTGTTTGCTGCAGCACAGTGGCAGCTGAAGTCGGAAATGAAACAGAATTTATCTAAGTCAACATACTTGGTAAGTTTCAACTTTCATCTCAGCCTTAGACGAAATGAGTCAGTGAGTTTAGGTTTAATGCTGATTTGATGAGTATTTCAGTTATATCAATGCGTGTTAACTTAATAGGGTAGGAAAACGACCCGAATTACTTATATTAAACCCATGAGCATGGGTATGGTGCTGGCAAACCTAGAAACATGGCCTGGGAGAATGTGGGATTCAAGGGTAAACTGGAGAAGTTGAGTGTCCGAGACAGACAATGAGCAAGCTGAGGTCAGGTGGTCACTCTTTGTATCAGAGGGTCATTACTGTTTCCGTCTGCTTGGCCGAGGCTGCATCAAGCTTAGGATGCCGAGAAATTGTTCCATCATCAAACTCTTCACTCTCTTCCAACAAAGGCGGTTGAGCAAAACCTTGAGGTGGGATCATAATTGTCAGGAGAAATACCATGCTAAATACGTTGAGTCATCATGTCGCAAGATGAAGTGCTTTCAACATGAGAAACAGAAACCTCATCTGTTATCTTTATCGGGGACTTTAGTAGCCTCTGACGAAAAGAGGTTGGGAGACCGTCAATAAACTCAAATTGGTAGAACTTACTATCAAAGACAGCAGAGATATCCAGGACTGAATCATGATGGTCTGTGGTCTATGACAGGGGGATCCTCTATGTGTCTGTGGTCTGTGACAGGTAGGTCCTCTGTGTGTGTTTGTGGTCTGTGACAGGGGGATCCTCTATGTGTCTGTGGTCTGTGACAGGTAGGGCCTCTGAGTGTGTCGGTGGTCTTTGAAAGGGTGGTCCTCTGTGTGTGTCTGTGGTCTGTGACAGGGAGGTCCTCTGTGTGTGTCTGTGGTCTGTGACAGGTAGGTCCTCTATGTGTGTCTGTGGTCTGTGACAGGAGGTCCTCTGTGTGTGTCAGTGGTCTGTGACAGGAAGGTCCTCTGTGTGTGTCTGTAGTCTGTGACAGGGTGGTCCTCTATGTGTGTCTGTGGTCTGTGACAGGGTGGTCCTCTGAGTGTGTCTGTGGTCTTTAACAGGGTTGTCCTCTGTGTGTGTCTGTGGTCTGTGACAGAGTGGTCATCTGTGTGTGTCTGTGGTCTGTAACAGGGTGGTCCTCTTTGTGTGTCCGTGGTCTGTGACAGAGTGGTCCTCTATGTTTGTCAGTGCTTGATACTACTGATTATAACACAGTCACACAGATATATATATGTGGTGAAACACTCCCGGAAGTACTATCTCCTCGTATATGTTCACTTTCCCCGGATGATTAAGTCAGTCATATACAGTTTTATCTAATTGTGGGGGCAGCAAGGGTTAAACACCCAATTTAACAAGACATTCAAAACGACCGTTTAGTAATACTCTAAATACTCATTGGACAAGATAAAGACCGTGGTTTGGGCACCGTGTTCCGGCTTGCGTCACATCTGGCAGCGGGTCAAAACATTATGATTGAGCCTTATTGACTATTGATAATAAGTGTGGGGGTGAGGGGGGGGGGGGGGGGGGGGGGGGTCAATTTACATCGATCTGAACTGCGCCATAATGGTTGCCATCAACACATCCAGTGCGAGGATATTGACTCTGTACCCCTGTACACGGAACTACCACTGGTGACTAACAGGTGCTTGCACCAATCTTTTCATGGGTACGTGAGACGACCATTGCCTCACAGTGATCTCTGTGTTGAACCTGTACAGCCACAAGGAAGCCCGTACGTAGCTCCTGGCTGCCGGGCCCAACTCATACAAGCCATTCATTATTGAATTGGGAACTTACTCGATTCTGAGTGGTCAATCAGAGGATGTCAAATCACAATAGACCCCCTCTGATTGAAACAGCCGAGTTGATGGACGCACCAGCACGAAAGCTCATTGTCGTTCATTGTCGTTCATTGTCGTTCATTGTCGGATGTGTGGATATATATTTTGTGCATAAAACATATATATCTTTTATTCGAGTGCAGTATGAAGGTGTAAAAAAGCTGCGTGAGCAAATATAGCGCCTTTTTTCGTTTAAAAGGTGGTTGTCGGTGATTCGGTTATTCAGGTCGAAAACCCTCACAAACAACTGGACAACCTATGCCGCTTCACCGTGCTGTATATTTGCTGACAGCAAAGTGTTCGCGTTTAACTTCGTAATTGTACTATTCGGATACACAGAGTTTTCAATGCCTCGGTTACCACTAGTAACCCCGCTAACATGGTAACATCAATCTCCACGTTCAATTTAGTTAAATTCGTAGGTAACCTAACTCTACATTACGTCTACAGTTAACCTAACTCTACATTACGTCTACAGTTAACCAAACTCTACATTACGTCTACAGTTAACCAAACTCTACATTACGTCTACAGTTAACCAAACTCTACATTACGTCTACAGTTAACCAAACTCTACATTACGTCTACAGTTAACCAAACTCTACATTACGTCTACAGTTAACCAAACTCTACATTACGTCTACAGTTAACCAAACTCTACATTACGTCTACAGTTAACCAAACTCTACATTACGTCTACAGTTAACCAAACTCTACATTACGTCTACAGTTAACCAAACTCTACATTACGTCTACAGTTAACCAAACTCTACATTACGTCTACAGTTAACCAAACTCTACATTACGTCTACAGTTAACCTAACTCTACATTACGTCTACAGTTAACCAAACTCTACATTACGTCTACAGTTAACCTAACTCTACATTACGTCTACAGTTAACCAAACTCTACATTACGTCTACAGTTAACCAAACTCTACATTACGTCTACAGTTAACCAAACTCTACATTGAAAACACAGTAGGTTATCTCCTCCAGTATTAATAATGATCAATATTATCTGCTTAGCTCTTTATCAAATCTGCCAAAATATTCCGGGGCCATCTAGTTTTGTGAAAACCTGTAATTAACAAGCGTATCATCGATTACTTATATAGGTGTGAAGGTTTTGGCCCTCTCGTACATTGTCTGTATTCTTGGTGACGACGCCATTGGCTTTCAGCTGTATGCATTGAACTCTTAAATATACTCTTCAAACAAGAAGGGAAAACTCGGAAATAACTTAAAAGTTTCAAAATTGTGAGAGATGTTAGTTCCTGGTAATAGCTGTATGGTAATAGTGAACGAACCGGTAACACATTGAAACCGGTAGTGAAGTATGACAGTAGATATTATGACCGCCGACGATCCTGAAGGACGTTAGATGAAAGATGGGAAATTGCAAAGTCGGCGTTTTGGGATCAGTGCGTAATACCGCTCCGATTTTGTCAAACATTCATTCACTCGACGAGGCATACTGCCTATGAGTCTCCCAGTGGCGACTTCAAGGAGTCTGTCCCACTCCTCTGGCAGCGCCTGGTCAAGTTCAGCCAACGTGGTCGGCGGCCTACGACGTTAACGCACACGTCTCCCTATCATGTTGGAGCTCATTGCAGGCCACGATATGCTATGGATGTGGTGCTGCGGGAGGTTAGCTTTGGCGACTCCTGCTCTGTCACATTAACTATAATCTCTATTTTATCACACATAAACCGCATCCCAAATTTGTCAAACATAAAACCCATCCCTCTTAGTTAAGTTTATTTCAATGTGGTAGATAGTAGTTCTGTATATATTAATCATGTTTTATTAATTAGCTCTAATTTACTATGTATGTTGTCAATAATGGTATTTTGTATATTTCAGATATTGCAGTAATCAAGAATTATTTATTGTATTTCTCATTTCAGGCTGCATACTTAAGTAGTTGTTAGTCAAGTATTATCATTAAAGCCCTATTCCAATGTCATGTTTTACTTAGTGGGTCAGTCAACTGCTTGGTGGTCAATCAGAGTGTAAGCCCAGGCGTCCTCTGGATTGGCTAGTTTTAAATCTCTGTGTCCCACTTTCTAACCCCTTTGTTTTCACCCTGCACTTGGCATTACTACTTCACTGTGCACTGGACTGGAAGAAAGGATATACTTATATAAAGGTTAGTAGTTAAAGTTATACTTGTATTTTATGCCAGTATAATTATGCAAATCACTTAAGTTTAATAAATGTCTATATAGATCCTTAATTATATTTAAACATGTCACATTTACTAGTATTAGTGTGTGCATGGTGAGTGTATGTATACTAGATATATTTCATTTTACTATATGTGTGTCTGTGTTAATCTAGGACATTTGTGTATTCTGTAACTTGAATTGTGTATTAATAAGTTGATAATAGTTTACATGTTATGTTCATGTGTGTAGATAAACATACCTTCATGATGTATTTTATATCATGAACAGGTTTTCACGAGGGATTTAATCTATTTACAAGGGATTGTGACCACCCAAATACACCCCAGTGGGATTCACCGGGTATATATATATGTATACTTATATATTGCTTGCATTGTAACATAATATTATATTTATTGTACCATATTTATATTAAATGTGTAAATCCATTAAACTTACATATCTAAGCTTATAATTGCGAAATGTTATAAATGATATATCATGTATAGCTACAAGTGTAGTAGATTATTAATTAATCTGCTTCAGTTTTGATGTACTAGATATAATTGTATGTTTATTATTGTATTCATTGTTCCAGGGTGTCGGTTTACCAGAACAGACAATAAATAATCAGACCTCACACCCTAGCCTGTGTCATTATGTTATTTGGGATAATACATATGCACATATAATGGCTACAACATCAATATAAAGGTCTAAGGCCCAAGTAAGGTATAGACACGCCATGGGCTATATACAAAGTGGGCATCTTTCATGGTTATATTTAGCACAAAATGACAAGAATAGAAGTGCATAGTAAAGTTCTAAGAGAATAATAATTTTGTAAATAAGTGTTTGCAAAAAATATATTTGTCTTAAAATATGATGAAATTGGCATATAAACACAAAATGAAACCCATCTTCTATAACAGACACGTGAAGATTCAGGTGAGAATAAATCTTCAGCAACGAAAGCTTGCTGTACGAGGCGGCTAACGGGATCGGGTGGTCAGGCTCGCTGACTTCGTTGATGCATGTCATCGTATCGCAATTGCGTAGATCGATGCTCCTGTTGTAAATCACGGGATTATCTGGTTCAGGCTCTATTACTTACAGACTGCCGTCATATAGCTTAAATATTGTTGTGTTTAAAGAACAACCAAACAAACATCTTCATTGATGTGTTTACAAAACGGAAAAAATAAGGTTTCCAGCAACACCCTCCCGCTAACTATATAGGTCATAATTTGGAATTCACATCCCTACTTTGTCAAGCATAAAAAGCCCTGTTTTGCTAAACATAAAACACATTCCTGCTTTGTCAAACATAAAACATATCCCTACTTTGTCAAGCATCAAACGTATTCCTAGTTTGCTACACATAAAACACATTCCTACTTAGTCAAACATGAAATGCATTCCTGCTATGTCAAACATTGGCCATATTCCTACCCTAGAAGTTTTGTGGTATTTTGAAGGTTTTATATTTGGATAAGTTACGATGTGTATTATGTTTGACAAAGTTTGGATGTGTATTATGTTTGACAAAGTTGGGATGTGTATTATGTTTGACAAAGTTGGGATGTGTATTATATTTGACAAAGTTGGGATGTGTATTATGTTTGACAAAAAGTAGGAATGTGTAATATGTTTGACAAAGTAGGAATGTGTATTATGTTTGACAAAGTTGGGATGTGAATTATGTGGATACTCGAACATACTTGAATATGTTTGTATTGACGATGTTGTATGGAAGACTGAACTACTGACATTGGGATGGGATAACTCTCTTTAAACATAAAGTGTCTACAGCGTCACAATTAACCGTGTGATATTCGGGGTTAAAGTAAGTTACTTGGAGAGAAACATGCAGTCAGTTGGCAAACACGGTCCCATTCCTCAAGACCCCCCACACATGATGAAGGTGTCACCATTTTGTTCCGCTGCCCATAAGACTTTCCTCTGCTTGAAACACTGTTCAAAGCGACGTTCATCCAGATTCGCTTGTTCACTGGTTTTGCGTTGGCGTAATTCTGTTTTTCGCCATGGCAGCACGTACACACCGACATGCTATGGGATATTCACGTAGTTTCCATTTGTAACAGCTATTCCTGGAGTTCCTCTCCAAGACATATCTGTAGTACATCACCTCCTGGCACTGGCCTAAAGTGCAGGTCCGGCATGCACAGCGCGCATGGTACAAAACGGTCGGTATCCGGTTCCGGTTGTAACTAATGACGTAAAAATGAGGGCAGTGTTGTTCGGTCCTATTCTGGTGGGGACATCCTCCGTCGTTTACGTCCATCCTCATTGTTCGTTGAATGCTTTTGTCTGTGAGATTGTGAAAGTTTCTCAGCTCCGGTATCAAGTACATCGACTCCTCTGTGTTCGGTTCTGGTCCGACGGGACATGTTCGTTTCTTGCAGTCACAGATGTGGACACACCCTATCAGTGCCTGAAACAAGTCAGATTTAATCAGTTTGTGTTGTACGGTAATTCGCTGATGTAAACATTTTATCAAATAACTTTGATATCTATTCCAACAATATATACCGTGTATGTTGTTGTTGTTGTTGTTGTTTAACCCGAACTCAGAAATATTTCAGCTATACGACGGGGACCTATATATGATCGAATCTGGACTAGAAATGTCAGTTAATTCGCGTGTACCTTATAATTCCAGAAATGTTCATGGTAACTATTCATGTGAAACCCTACAACTAGTCAGGTCCCTGTCTCTCCGTCGACCCGGCTAGTCTGGATCATCGACGGCTAGCGACCCCGCTAGTTAGACCCTGTCATCTCACCGACCTTGCTAGCCTGGACTTATTTATCCCGTCGACCCTTCTAGTCTGGACCGTGTTACCATGTCGACCCTTCTAGTCTGGACCCTGTTACCACGTCGACCCTTCTAGCCTGGACCGTGTTACCACGTTGACCCTTCTAGCCTGGACCGTGTTACCACGCTGACCCTTTTAGTCTGGACCCTGTTATCCCGTCGACCCTTCTAATCTGGACCGTGTTACCACGTTGACCCTTCTAGTCTGGACCGTGTTACCACGCTGACCCTTTTAGTCTGGACCCTGTTATCCCGTCGACCCTACTAATCTGGACAGTGTTACCTCGTTGACCCTTCTAAACTGGATAATGTTACCACGTCGACCCTTCTAGCCTGGATAATGTTACCACGTCGACCCTTCTAGTCTGGCTAATGTTACAACGTCGACCCTTCTAGTCGTGCTAATGTCACATCGTCGAACCTTCTAGTCTGTTACCACGTCGACCCTTAAAGCTTGGACTCTTTTACCACGTCAACCCTTCTAGTCTGGCTAATGTTACAACGTCGACCCTTCTAGTCGTGCTAATGTCACATCGTCGAACCTTCTAGTCTGTTACCACGTCGACCCTTAAAGCTTGGACTCTTTTACCACGTCAACCCTTCTAGTCTGGACCGTGTTACCACGTTGACCCTTCTAGTCTGGACCGTGTTACCACGTCAACCCTTCTAGCCTGGACCGTGTTACCACGTCGACCCTTAAAGCTTGGACTCTTTGACCACGTCAACCCTTCTAGTCTGGACCGTGTTACCACGTTGACCCTTTTAGTCTGGACCGTGTTACCTCATCGACCCTTCTAGTCTGGACCATGTTACCACGTCGACCCATCAAGTCTGGCTAATGTTACCACGTTGACCCTTTTAGCCTGGACCGTGTTACCACGTTGACCCTTCTAGTCTGGACCGTGTTACCACGCTGACCCTTTTAGTCTGGACCCTGTTATCCCGTCGACCCTACTAATCTGGACAGTGTTACCTCGTTGACCCTTCTAAACTGGATAATGTTACCACGTCGACCCTTCTAGCCTGGATAATGTTACCACGTCGACCCTTCTAGTCTGGCTAATGTTACAACGTCGACCCTTCTAGTCGTGCTAATGTCACATCGTCGAACCTTCTAGTCTGTTACCACGTCGACCCTTAAAGCTTGGACTCTTTTACCACGTCAACCCTTCTAGTCTGGACCGTGTTACCACGTTGACCCTTCTAGTCTGGACCGTGTTACCACGTCAACCCTTCTAGCCTGGACCGTGTAACCACGTCGACCCTTAAAGCTTGGACTCTTTGACCACGTCAACCCTTCTAGTCTGGACCGTGTTACCACGTTGACCCCTTTAGTCTGGACCATGTTACCTCATCGACCCTTCTAGTCTGGACCATGTTACCACGTCGACCCATCTAGTCTGGCTAATGTTACCACGTTGACCCTTTTAGCCTGGACCGTGTTACCACGTTGACCCTTTTAGCCTGGACCGTGTTACCTCGTCGACCCATCTAGTCTGGCTAATGTTACCACGTTGACCCTTTTAGCCTGGACCGTGTTACCACGTTGACCCTTTTAGCCTGGACAGTGTTACCACGTTGACCCTTTTAGTCTGGACCGTGTTACCTCATCGACCCTTCTAGCCTGGACCGTGTTACCTCGTCGGCCCGTCTAGTCTGGTTAATGTTACCACATCGACCCTTCTAGTCTGGACCGGGTTATCATGTCGAACCTTCTAGCCTGGACTCTGTTACCACGTCGACCCTTAAAGCTTGGACTCTTTGACCACGTCAACCCTTCTAGTCTGGACCGTGTTACCTCATCGACCCTTCTAGCCTGGACCGTGTTACCTCGTCGGCCCATCTAGTCTGGTTAATGTTACCACATCGACCCTTCTAGTCTGGACCGGATTATCATGTCGAACCTTCTAGCCTGGACTCTGTTACCACGTCGACCCTTAAAGCTTAGACTCTTTGACCACGTCAACCCTTCTAGTCTGGACCGTGTTACCTCATCGACCCTTCTAGCCTGGACCGTGTTACCTCGTCGGCCCATCTAGTCTGGTTAATGTTACCACATCGACCCTTCTAGTCTGGACCGGGTTATCATGTCGAACCTTCTAGCCTGGACTCTGTTACCACGTCGACCCTTAAAGCTTGGACTCTTTGACCACGTCAACCCTTCTAGTCTGGATCGTGTTACCACGTTGACCCTTTTAGTCTGGACCGTGTTACCACGTCAACCCTTCTAGTCTGGACCGTGTTACCTCATCGACCCTTCTAGCCTGGACCATGTTACCACGTTGACCCATCTAGTCTGGCTAATGTTACCTCATCGACCCTTCTAGTCTGGACCATGTTACCACGTTGACCCATCTAGTCTGGCTAATGTTACCACATCGACCCTTCTAGTCTGGACCATGTTACCACGTTGACCCATCTAGCCTGGCCTCTGTTAACACGTCAACCCTTCTAGTCTGGACCGTGTTACCTCGTCGGCCCTTCTAGCCTGGACCATGTTTCCACGTTGACCCATCTAGTCTGGACCCTTTTACCACATCGACCCTTCTAGTCTGGACCCTGTTATGTCGTCGACCCAACTCGTCGGGACCCTCCTTGTCGGGCGACCCACTCTCCCGACGATTACTGTTGAACAATGTTGTCTGGACAAAACATAACATACTTTCATAACATATACACACTAAAAAAAGTGTTGCACCCGCTATACTTTTTCATGGAGGGGTGTTTTGAAAGGGTGTAAAGATAACCGAATTAATATTATAACCAGGATTTCGTGTATACCAACAAACCAGTGTATTGTCTATACAATGAACTTAAATGGGGTATTCCATGACCTTATGGCATGTAATAATCTCATGCTGAACTTCTACGAAAAATGAACGAACAACGAAGACGCATTAAGTATGGTGACATCTCAATAATTTTTAGTGCCCAAATTCATCCAATAGGGTAAGAATGTCATATGGAGATTTGACGAACACAGTAAGTCAATATCGAGAACTTCCACCAAGCACTTGGATCACAGCTTGAAGTCTTCGTCTCATACTCCTCACCAGACGTTGGAATCGCTCCATGGGCAGCTGCTGCCACTCCTCGTGTAATGCTGCTTCCAATTCACGCAAGTTCTGTGGAGGAGGGTCCCGACGATAAATCAGGCGTCCCGAAATGTCCCATACATGTTCCAGAGGATTCAGATCTGGACTCATTGCTGGCCATGGAATCTGCGTCAGAGCATTGTTGTGGATAACCTGGGTCACAGCTCGTGAACGATGTGGTCTGGCATTGTCATCCATGAATATCGGTCTGGTGGCCAGTGGATGATTGTCAAAATGGGGCACCACAACTGGATTCAGCACCTCTTGGATGTAGCGCTCCCCTGTCGAGTTGCCTCGTATGGTCACTAAATCAAGCTTACAATCAAATGAGAAGCATCCCCAGACCATAACAGATCCACCTCCATATGGTACAGTTGGCATGATGTTTCTTGCAGTATAAGCTGTTCCAGGACGCCTCCATACTCTCACTCTGCCATCCACAACATGCAGAAGGAACCTGCTTTCGTCCGACCAGTGGACTCTTCTCCAGGACCTCAAGTTCCAGTTCTGTCTCAGTCTACACCAGGCTAGACGTAGTCGTTTGTGGTTGTCTGTGAGTTTAGGTCGCTTGATAACCCTTCTGGACTTCAACCCTGCAGCTTTAAGACGATTTCTCACGGTCTGGGTACTGAACTGTTGACGAGGAAGCCAAAGACGTTTCAAGGTTGTGCTTGTAGCAAATGGATGACGCCTTACCACCCTCAACAACGCTCTGTCATCTCTAACTGTGGTCTTACGTGGTCTGCCAGAGGGTCTGCGATTCCTTACATCATTAGTTTGTGCGTGTTTTCTGACCAACCGGCTTATTGTTGAGTAGTGATGTCCGGTTCTTCTGCCAATCTCCTTGAACGAAAGACCTGCTCCATGAAGGCCAATAATCTGCCACTTGACTGCTTCTGACAATCGTCTACCCGGCATTGTGGGTTACAATAAACTGGGCTGTCAGAGAACATCTTTTATAGGCGATGTTGAGCTTAAGAAGATACTGCAATCTGCAAATGTCATGCACCATGCAATTCACGTGCTGATTGCTACGTTTTGGTGATCATCTTCCCTCCGAAAACATTACACATTTAACATCAGATCCCCAAGGAATACCTACCATTAAAACCAGAGTCGGGCGTTTTAAATGTTGTGATGTATCAAACGTATTAATGTGGGGGTGCAACACTTTTTTTACTGTGTATACTTGTTGATTAAGCTATCGTGAATTCTAACTTCTGCAGGATTGAAGGTGTTTTAATGAACGAGAGAGGGAACAATACTGTTAAGCGATACAACAATAATTTCAAATAATTTCTGTACCCAAACAGTTCCAGTCAACATCGAGTAAACATTAACAAGGTGTAGACAGATATTTGTATCTTGCCATATTTCACAATGAAACGTGATTTTTTAAACCGATGTTATCTGGGAATGTGTAGCTTAAGGAATCCTAAACCCGACGTAAACACAGAACATCCTTTACGCAATAAACTAATTGACGAGGAAGGAGGCCTTTAACGTTCCCCATATGCTCCTAGGCCTGAACTTCAATAATCCAGATGTCTGTCAATCACTGGATTGTCGGGTCCAGACCGTCACCTTACGGTTGGAATACTGCTGACTGCGACGTTAAACAAACAACAAAATGACTAACCGGTTGCGAACCCTGTGGTGACGATTGTTTCCGACGCCACCAACTCGGTACTCATGACGTCATGAAGGTCCAGTGAACATAGTTGCAAAGTCTCGTCATGGCGTGTTAATTCGGTTGCAGAAGTTCTGCTATATTTACGTGGACAGAGGAACATGCTAACGAGGGTAGACGTGAACACTAACTGGACAGAGGAACATGCTCACGGGGGTAGACGTGAACACTAACTGGACAGAGGAACATGCTCACGAGGGTAGACGTGAACACTAACTGGACAGAGGAACATGCTCACGAGGGTAGACGTGAACACTAACTGGACAGAGGAACATGCTCACGGGGGTAGACGTGAACACTAACTGGACAGAGGAACATGCTCACGAGGGTAGACGTGAACACTAACTGGACAGAGGAACATGCTCACGAGGGTAGACGTGAACACTAACTGGACAGAGTAACAAGTACAAGCAGCCGTCCAAACACGTGCATACATGTCGCTAAATGAGGGACATACGTCAAGCCCAATTGCACCTCACGTCATATTGATATACATTTATCTGTAACATAAAGTGATATTTGTCTCGAGTGGAACCACGCATTATATATGCACAATAATAGCATGGCTCCCTGTCTGAGATCAGTCAGGAAATACTTGATCAGATATATTACTTGGCTTTTTTTCTGATTTCCTCATCCAGGGATTTGAAAAAAAGAACAAAAAAAACACGCAAATTAATTAATGGTAACCTTTCCATGTGATTATTATGTTGTGTTATCAAATTAAAAATATATATCAGACTGTCAGTAATGACTACAAACACATTCTTTAAATACTAACGAAAAAGAAAAGACTTACGAATATAACCAACGCTGGTAGTTTTTCCATATTTTAGCCACGGTTACAGCGGTGGCTGACTTGACCGTACGACTGCAGCTGATGACGCCGTGGAAAGTGTTGTATCTTTATACCCCTCTAAACGGAAGGAAGGCGTGTTTCACACCTCAACAGATGAGGAATCCGACACAGTGCTACCCAGGTAATTTTTAGCTTCATAGACATTTTAAACAATTAGTAACCAGGAAGTACCGTATTCAATCCGTGTACGTCGTCGCGCAGCTGAATACCCTCAGACAGGAGGGTTTACTTGGACACAAAACCATAGCAATAAACTGTATACGGGGCGTGGCAGATCACACTTCGTATTCTGATCACACTGAGCACCATGTAACTCTGTACGATCCATCTATAACTCGCCACTTTATTTTTTTCTATTGGGATGTAATCAATTGAACACCAGTTGTTTACGAACGTGGTGAAATACCGCGTGCGACGTGACGCCAGGGAGGAGCAGGAAGTGTGCACGTGCTACAAGTCCAGATGTATTTTTCCATATCTAGAACTCCCATACTAAAAGTGGTCACCTGACACTTGACACTACCTAAACACTCTCACGTTATGTTTACTGAATATCATCAGAACGCATCCGCCGACCTTGCATTTCACAATTTTGGAATACATATCCATGTACATGTATACAGGAAACAGAGAAGATAATACGGGGAATATAAACTGGGCGGCAAAAGAAAGTATAGGTCGAGTTCCATGATCGATAAAAAAATAACAAGAAGAGGTTTTGTTGTGAATTATAATATAATCTAGGGAGGGGTAACAAATGATTGATCAACCACAATTTGAATGAAGTTGTGCAATCACAGGTAATGTACGCTCAAGGCAAACAACGGTAGGGTAAGAAATTGCACTTTCAAAAGTTGTCTGAAATGTCACCAAACAATTGTCAGACACATTACAAGTTCATTGTCGACACAGTTGCCTTCAATAGCGTGTTTGACCTCCAGCTGCCTCAATGCATGCCGTGATACGGCGCCTCATCGATGACGTCAGTCTTCTGATCTCCACAAATACCGCCCCACTATGACACCCCCCACCCGCCGAATGGATGTATCTCTCGAATACACGCCGGAGCCAAACGTTCCCCTCTGCGTCGATAAACTCGTTCTCTTCCGTCATTTCGAAACAAGTTAAACCGACTTTCATCAGTAAACAGCAGTCGACGCCAATTTCTCACTTGCCAGCGTCGAACATGCCTCGCCCATCGCAGTCTCAGGCGTCGATGTTGAGCAGTAAGTACCATTCCTCGGAAAGGACGATACGCTCGGATTTCAGCAGCACGAAGTCGTCGTAGTACTGTACGTTGGCCAATGGGATGTCCCAATGCTGTTGCTGCCGTCGCCGTCGCCGTTACGAATCTGTTTCGCAGGTGAATGAGCCGTATCTGACCGTCTTCGAGTGGTGTTGTCACTCGGGTCGTCCAGTTCTAGGCCAGTCCTGTGTCCTCCCTGTCTGCATGTACCGTTGAATCAGCCTGGCTACTGTCAATGGTGTACAGCGAAACCTTCTGGCAATTTGGACCTGTGTTGCCCCCATTTCGGCCATACCAATGGCTCTCTCTCTCTCTGCTCCTGAGACAGTCGTGGCATTTCTTTTGTGTGCTTTCATCACGTGTGGTTATACCCTGCAGACGAACGCATTTATACAGCTAACCTGCACGTGCAGTTTATGCCATAGCCGGGAAACCTGTTTCACCATTCTTTTTGTCACCGCACGAGCGCCGTCAAAGGTGAGGTGTTTTTTTGGTGCCTGTTCTTTGGCAGTCATATTCCCAATTCCCACTTTCCACTAGTTATCGCTGTTTTTAGGAAAATTACAAATTGCCAACCTATACTTTCTTTTGCCGCTTAGTTTATTTACAAGAAATATAGGTATTAAATGTATTAAATGCGTTAAAAAATTTCACTAACTTAGACCGAAAACCGCATTTGCTTTCACCAATTTCGGCCACATATTTGTTTGTTTAGACAAATTGGTTTTCACCAATTATTTTGTCTACGGAATTGCCGACAAAATAGTTTACAAAGGCAAGAAAATTAAAGTAAATTATTTATACAATACGCATTCAATGAGATTATTTTTAAAGTACACATTTCAGTAGATTCATTTATAAAATACACATTCAAGTGGACTGTTCATAAATTACACATTCCGAAAGTTTATTTATTAAATACACATTCAAGTAGATTATTACGAAATACACATTCAAGTACATTATTAAGAAAATACACATTTCACTTCATTTTTGATGATGAACACAATCAAGTAGAATATTAATGAAATACACTTTCCAGGAGATTAATTGATTAAATACGCAGTTTAGTACATTATTATCAAATACACTTTCCAGTAAATTATTTATGAAATACAAAATCCAGTAGAATATTTATAAAGTACACAGTCAAGTAGAATATTTAAAAAATACGGACGAGAGTAGATTATTTATTTAATACACATTACAGTAAATTATTTATACCATAAACATCTACCAGTAGATTATGTGTACAAAACACATTCCAATATATTCTTTAATAAATACGCATTCCAGTAGCTTATTAATAACGCACACATTCTTATTAGATTATTTATAAAGTACATCAGATTATTGATATAAAATACACATTCCAGTAGATAATGATAAAGTACACATTCCAGAAGCTTATTGATACAATAAGCATGCTAGTAGATTATTTGGTTTATTCCCAGTGTGGCTCTTACCAGTGTGACTCTTCCCAGTGTGGCTCTTCCCAGTGTGACTCTTCCCAGTGTGACCACCGTGTTTTTATTGGTTACGTTGAAAATTCCCACTGGGGCCACTCTTCATTTAACTATTCCCACTGCGAACTGGGATCGTTAACTAAACAAAAAAACGAAACGAAACAATGCTTTAAACACAACACTGGCCAGGACAGAATTGACGTTATCAGTACAGAATTAGCTGCTAATCCCTCCTTACCCAATTACTTAATTAATTGCGATCAGTTGTCCCCGGCTGGACATGGTGACGTCATCCAATTCCCAGTGTGGACACTGTGTCCAGTGAGGTAGGTGAAGGTAGGTCGGGTGCCTCACTGGGAGGTTACCCACAGGTCCAAGCAAACAAATATGTGGCCGAATTAATGAAAGCAAATAGGGTCGTAGTTATAGAGCACGCATTCCGAGTCGATTCTTTATATAGTACATATTCTGAAAAGATTACAGATACACTGTGTAGATTATTTAAGTTATATACAGTCCAGTAGATTATTTATAAAACACACAGTCTAGTAGATTATTTATAAGATACACATTCCAATAGAGTATGTATAAAATACACATTCCAGTAGATTATTTATAAAATACACATTCCAGTAGAATATTTATAAAATACACATTCCAGTAGATAATTTATAAAATACACATTCCAGTCAATTATTTATAAATACACAGTGCAGTAGAATATTTATAAAATACACATTCCAGTAGATAATTTATAAAATACACATTCCAGTCAATTATTTATAAATACACAGTGCAGTCGATTATTTATAAAATACACATTCCAGCAGATTATAAAATACCCAGTCCAGTAGATTTGTTTTAATTAAATACACATTCCAGTTGATTATTTATGAAATACAGAGTCCAGTAAATTATTTATAAAATATACAGTCAAGTAGATTATTTATGAAATACACAGACAAGTTGATTATTTATAAAATAAACATTCCAGTAGATTATTTATAAAATACACATTCAAGTTATCTATAAAATACACATTCCTGTAAATTATTTATAAAATACACATTCCAGTAGATTATTTATAAAATACACATTCCAGTAGATTATTGATAAAATACACATTCCAGTAAATTATTTATAAAATACACATTCCAGTAAATTAGTTATAAAATACACAGTGCAGTACACATTGTTTTTCATACAAGCTATGTCTGGTGTCTGTAATAGCCTGGAGATGGTTCAGGTTGAACTATCCGTGTTTCTGTTCAAACAAACTGCTTCAATATAACATCTGTGTCGTCACTGATCCACCGGCAGGTGGTCGGAATAAACGAGTGACAGGTGACATTGTGACGTGTTAGGAATGTTGCCGAGGGACACCAAGCTCTGTGTGTGTATGTGTGTGTGGGCGTGTGTGGGCGTATGTGTGTGTGTGTGGGGGGGGGGGGGGGGGGGGGGGGGGGGGGGGGCGTTTTGGGGCGTATGTGTGTGTGTTGAGGGGGAAGATGTTTAGTAAAAGGTGTGCAAATGATTCAACAAATCAGTAATCAGTATCAACATATTTTCATATTCAACAACACATCACAAATCAATATCACAAAATACTACTGTCACTTAAACTGTGTCTATTGCACACAACTCGTGGCACTGGTTTTCTAAAGAATATTACCTTCAAGTCGCTTAACTTCCTGATTCCGTGAAGCAGGTGCACAAATAACGCAGTGGGTTTCCCAATATCTATAAATAGAACACTCTCACTTCTTGACAACGTGGCCTGACACAGATGCACAGTCCTCTGATCGTGCTGCATTGTTGACTGACACCTCACCATACACGTTGTAAACTCACCTGTCAGGGTGCAGTTCACCAGAAAAATGTCGGATACAATTTGCATATGAAATTCCTTTTTGGCTTATATGTATGCATGTTATACGTCTTACAAAATTTACTTTTCAGGGAGTTAGTCTTAACAGTAACTACATAACCGTTCTTATGGTCCTAATAATTATTCAAGCTTGAAATGAACGGAATCGCCATCGAATGTAAACAAACGAGTTGATGCGCGTGCTACAAGTTTGTTGTTTAACGCCGCACTCAGCAATATTCCAGCTATATGACGGAGGTCTGTAAATAATCGGGGCTGGACCAGACAATCCAGTGATTCACATCATGAGCATCGATCCTCGTAATTGGGATACGATGACAGGCATCAACCAAGTCAGCGAGCCTGACCACCCGATCCCGTTAGTCGCCATACAACAAGCATAGTCGCCTTTTACGGCAAGCATGGGTTGCTGAAGACCTATTCACGGATCGTCAGGGGTCGCTAAAAGAAGTTAACTTGTTACCTGTACAAGTTACCGTAAAAATTGATACCCGTAATATTTGATACCCGTATAATTGTACCCGGCCGCCACA